ACCAAGACAGGGGGCTGCCTCCACAGGGGGGAGATGATCCTAGGTCCTAGATTTCAGTGTTGGTGTTAATATTTCGGCCACCTTGGAGGCCAGAATATTTACCACCATCACCGAGGTCGGGATCTTTCTTCCCTCGGTGGAAGAACACCGCCGGCATTGGTGTTGGTGTCACTCTCTAGGCCCGCGAAATTAGAACATTGTCTGCAGGGCCTGTGAGGCACGCCGGGACGCCTCGCCACTGCCCGAGCGTCGGCGCTGCCCTACGGCCAGGCGCCGGCCGGCCCGCTGCTGGGGCCGCCCGCGGCCGACAGGAGCCACAGCTGGACCTGGGCACCGCGGGGGGTCTCGGGGAGCATCGGGGGGAACGAACGGGGGGACACCAACGGGTGGTGATGGTGGTGATGATGATGCTGATGATGATGGTGGTGAGGAGGAGGAGGAGGAGGAGGAGGAGGAGGAGGAGGAGGAGGAGTCCACGTAGCTAATCATGATGATGATGATGATGATGATGAGGAGGAGGAGGAGGAGGAGGAGGGAGAGGAGGAGGAGGAGGAGGGGAGGGCGCTGTCTCTTCTCGGGGGGAACGAAAGGGGGGGATACCAAAGGGTAGGGCAGATAATCAGCTCACGTGGCTGCTTTCCCCAGCGCCTCCCGGCGCCGGGAGGCGCCCGTGCATCGAGGCATGGGCCCGGCGGCGGGGCCGAAGCCAGTTGCATGCAGCAGGCTTCGTAACCCCACCTCGCCCTATCCTCCCCCCTACCTCTCGGCCCGAGAGCAGCCCGAGGAGCTCGGCCGGAGATCCTGGCGCCGCCACTTCTCCTTCACTCCGGGCGTTCTCGCTCGTCCTCGGGCCCTGGGGGCCCTCGCAGCTCGATCGGGCCCCAAACGCAGAAAGATGGGGTCAGGTTTATGCTGTTCCCATACTACTCAAGGACCACATCCCAGAAAAAAATCGAGCACCCAGAAAAGTGTCAAAAGAGTGTCAAAAGAGTGTCGGAACAGTGTCGGGCGAGTGTCTCTCAGGGCCCGACACGTCAACACCCTCGATGTTCGGTACTTTTACTGGCCGCTCGAAATTCTTTCTGGTGGTCAAGGCTGAAGTAAGTTGGACCATCATAGGGTCGGGGCTCTGGGCGTGATCTTCCGCAATGTTGCAGCTCTTTGCCGCAACGTCGGGTCTCACGGGGGGAGGAAAAATAACTGCAAAACAAAAAACATAATGCGTTGAATAAAAACTGATTCTATTCTTTCAAATTTGCTATTACGTAATAACTAATTGACAACACAAAAATTCAAATGATTCCACAATTTTACTATAACACCCGGAGGCAGGAGCCCACGGAGGGAGGAGGCAGCGGCCTGGCCCTCGAGTCGCCGAGCTCGCCCTCGAGCTCGGCGAGACGGCCTTTCCACTGCGCCTCTCCGAGCAGCCCGCGCTCGAGGGGAGCCGGGGCGCCGCGCGGGCCAGGGCAAGGGGGGCGAGGGGCGGGGGGTCGACGCTGCCGGCCGCGGAAGCGCAGAAGAGGACGAAGAGAGAGACGCAGAGAGCTGAGAGAGAGAAAAGAGAGAGAGAGAGAGAGAGAGAGAGAGAGAGAAAGAGGGGGGAGGAGGCAGGAGCCCATGGAGCGGGCCAAGCGGACGATTCGGGTGGGGGGGGGGGGCCAGCGGCAGCCGTGGAATGGCGCATCTGCCTCGCGTTGCCACGCCTCGCGGCTAGTGTCGTCCTGGCGCCTCGCTGGGGCCAGAGGGTCGCCCGCCTGCCTGGGGGCAGCTCCGTCGCTATCTCTGTCTCAGTCTGCGGGGCCCGTGTTCGGGCCCTGGGACTGTCAACATGATGATACTTGAGGGAAACCCTAATCATAATCTTTTTTGGGGCTATGGGGCTATAGGGCCATGGGGCTGTGGGGCTACGGGGCTACGGGGCTACAGGGCTAGGAGGGTCAGGAGGGCTAGGAGGGCTAGGAGGGCTAGAGGGCTAGAGGGCTAGAGGGCTAGAGGGCTATATGGCTATAGGGCTATAGGGCTATTGGGCTAAAGGGCTATAGGGCTTTCGGGCTGTACGGCTGTAGGGCTATAAGGCTATGGGGCACCTGGGCGGGCCACCGAACTCGGCGACGCAGCTCCCGGGCACCCAAGCACCCAGACGGGCCGCCAAAATCGGCGGCGCAGCTAACCTAACCGTATGAATCCGCTAGGACCCCTACAGAGGCAAGCTCTGATTGGGGAAAAAACGGTCGTGGGCAGAGCAGCAACCCCGGGGAAGGGGTCGAGTGCTCCAAAGGTCACGCGCGTACTGCCCGGTTCACGACGTCGGAAGTCAGGAAACAGGATGCAGGGCTCGAGCCACTGGAGAAGTGACGAAGCCGCAGGCCACGTGGCGGGTGAACGGGTGTACACGGACTGCCTGATTGAGGGGAGAAGCTGTGGTAAAGGCAAAATTAAAATTTAATGCCTTCTGGTCGCGCGGGCCCAGTGGGCCAGAGCCCTCCCCCTGCCCAGTGGGCTACCCCATGCACGATCTGTGAACGCGGTGGAGGAGGAAGAAGAAGAGGAGTCGGAGGAAGGGGATAAGCTGGAGGAAGAAGAGCTGTCGGAGGAGGAAGAAGACAGGGAGATGGGGGAGGAGGAGGAGGAGGAGGAGGAGGAGGAGGAGGAGCAGGAGGAGGAGGAGGAGGCCGAACGTCGCCGAGAGAGCTCACAAGGAGGGGCAGGAGGAGAGGAGGAGGAGGAGGAGGAGGAGGAGGAGCGCCAGTAGGGGAGCTCGATGTCTCACGAGACTCGACGCCGAGCTGCTGGTTCCAGCCACCTGTAGGGCCGAGCAGCGTCAGGCGGAGGAGGAAAGAACGAGCATTCGTTGGGCATTTTAGCCTGTGCAGCTTTCGCTGCATCAAGCGGTTGCGGGCGCGTGAGGGGCGAGCGGAGGCGGAGGAAGGGAGGAGGGGGAGGAGGAGGAGGAGGAGGAGGAGGAGGAGGAGGAGGAGGAGGAGGAGGAGGAGGAGGAGGAGGCCGAACGTCGCCGAGAGAGCTCGCAAGGAGGGGCAGGAGGAGGAGAAGGAGGAGGAGGAGGAGGAGGAGGAGGAGGAGGAGGAGGAGGACGAGGAGAGGAGGGAGGAGGACGAGGAGAGGGAGGAGGAGAGGGAGGAGAGGGAGGAGGAGGAGGAGGAGGACGACGACGTCGACGACGACGAAGACGACGACGTCGACGACGCACACGGACAAGGCCCGCGGCCGTGGGGCGCGGAGGCCAGCCGTTGCCCGCCGGTGCCCGGGGGCGGAGGGGGAGAGAGGTGGCAGGACCGGCTCGCCATCGCTCGGGCGCGTCCGTGCCCCGTGCGGTTTTCGTTCGGTGCCGGGCGTGGTGATCTCTCTTCGAGGGAGAGGGCGGGCGCGGGCCGCGCGCCTCGGTGCCCGGGCAAGAAGTGCCCACACCCGGGGTGGCCACACCCGCGTGACGCAACTGCTCGCACCCCTCGCCCCCGAACCCGAAGTGTCCACATTCTGTCCCTGGACCGCGGCCTGCCGCCCAACCCCGCCAACTTCGAGTTGGGGGGAAGGGGGCTCTACATATTCGATCGACGCGATGCCGTGACGAGTCGTCTTGGCGCGAGAGGTGTGGGCACTTTTCGTCCGCCCGCCGTTCCACAGCTGGCGCCGAGCTCTTTGCTGCCGGGAGCTGTGGCGGAGAAGCAGCTCGCGCCACGGAGAGCGGCGGTGCCACCAAAACAGCTCGTGCGCGGAGGGGTATGAGCGCTCGATGCTCCAAGATGCTCCTCGATGGTCCTCGGAAACGGAAGCGGAAACGGGACGCCTGTGCGGGCATGCGCCCGGGCCCCTTACGGGCGAGGCGGGTGAGGCCATGGCCTCGCATGAGAAGCTGCGCGCGTCGGGGGTCTACTCAGGGCAATGCGTGCTTCAGGAGCTGATTTCCCGACAGTCCCCACTCATCCGTTTTCTCATGATGTAGCCACGTCGTCTCGTTGAAATCGTCCTCGATGGTCCTCGCCGGAAAGAAAGGCACACGTCCGAGCGATGCCAGGTCAGATGAGCGCGCTCCACTACTCTCAGGTCGGGCCTGTCCCCCTACAGGGGGATCTTGGGCGAACAACTCGAAAGTACCCCCAAAGTGCTCCAACATTATATATATATAACCCCCAAAATTGTCTCCAGACTACTGTTTTAAAAAACTTTCGACAATTCCTGTAGAGGGACAGGCCCGACTTTACACTACTCGCGAGAAGACCTGCTCACAAATGGCCCGGATTCGCCGCGCGGGGTTCCCGATCCATTGCGTCGAGGCATGGATGTGTTCCTGACTTCCTACCAGACCACCCCAACCCAACCCGAAGACCCAGATTTCGGGTTGGGGGTGGGTACGGGATAAATCTGTGTTTTTTCAATGTTCCCCGACCCCCCCACTGGAAATGGAGGGCAAATTGAGGCCTTCGGGTTGGGTTGGGGTGGTTTGGTGGGAGGTGAGTTTCTGTTCGGACGCTTGCGAGCAGCAGGTTTTCTGCGAGTGGTGTGGAACGCGCTCGGGGAATCAGGATGGGGGAGGGGAGGGCGCAGAGAGCTGGGCAGGACAGGGTGGGGACGGAGGGAGAGAGAGGGGACGGACGAGGCGAGGATGCAGGGGCAGGAGGGGGACGAAGGAGAGGAGAGTGGGCCGTAGGAGAGGACGACGTGAGCGGCATGCAGGCTCGAGCTCGGGCAACGCAACATTGGCGCCCCTTGCGGCCGTGCTCGCACGGGCCACGCCGGCACCGCATGCGCGACGCTCCGGACGCCTTCTGTCGGCGGCGACGACAGGGGCGAATAGCCCAGGGGCGGGCATTACACGTATTCGCCCGGGAGCCGTTCCGAAGGCATAAACCATTGGCGCACCCGAATGCATGTATTGCTCTCCCCTGGGCTATTCGCCCCTATCGTCGCCTCTGATTCTGCCCTCCCCCCTCTCCGCCCTCCCCCCCAGGCGCCCCGCGGCCACTGGCCGGTGCCACGAGCTAATTCGGGGCGTCCCCGCTGCCAGCTGGGGAGTACGGCGACAGAGAGCGCCCCCTGGCCAGGGTGTAGGCGACGGCGCCGAGGGAGCCACCGAGGACGAGGCCGCTGACGACGATGGTCGACACCTCTCGGGGGCAACTGTAGGGGGGACTGGCATAGGGGGGATGCATCGACCTGGAATCGGCGATACATCGCCGATAGATCGGCGATAGGCCTCTGATAGTGAGTCCGCACCTTCCTGGGCAGGTTGGGGCTATCGGGCCCCTATCGGCGATCAAGGGGCGATTGGGGGTCGATGCATCCCCCCCCATATCTATCCCCCCTATCGATGCCCCTGAACCTCGGCCACCCCGAAGCGCCTGTCGGCGCTGGTGCTGGCCGAGCTGAGCTTCCAGGCGCCCTCCGACGCTGGCACCAGCTGGTCGTCTGGCGCGCAAATCTCCCTCGAGCACCACGTCCGCTTCTCCTCCGACCACTCCTCACTCTTCCTGCGCCCCAGGTCGCAATCGAAGGCCGCAGGGCCGGCGCAGCCCTTCTGCTCGCGGGCGCAGCACCACTCCTGCTGCCTCGGGCTCCACGTCTGGTCCCAGGAGTCGGCGTCCTGGCCACAGTCGAAGGGCGCCGTCTCCTCGACCGCCGCACAGCCCTGCCCCTCGTTCGAGCAGCACCACTCGATCTTCTCGCGCGACCACCTGCTGATCCAGTCCTTGAGGTCCGCCGCGCAATCGAACCGCTTGCCGCCCTGGCAGCCGTTGGTCTCCCAAGAGCAGCACCAGAACTTCTTGTTCGCGTCCTTCTGCGGCAACTCATGGAAATCTCTCCCATACCATCTTGCTGGCTTTTGTGAATCGACACTTATCGACGCAATTCGACGCTACATCGACGCTAATCCACGCTGATCGACGCTAGATCGGCGCTATCTCATCGATCACTAGACGCTAATCGACGCTAGTGCACTGTGAAAACGGAATTGCGAAGGTATGCAAGGCTCCCCTGATTTGCTACCGAGTCGTCCCACTCCGCGACCTGATCTGGATCGCCCGCCGAGCAGTCGTACTTCTGCCACAGGCCCAGCTTACACCCCTTGCGCTCAGCAGTGCAGCACCACGCCTGCTGCTCCTCAGTCCACGCGCCTTCCCAATTCGCGTACCCCTCGGAGCAGTTGTAGGGACCACCCAGCGCTGAGGCATCGGTGGTGCAGTCGACGTCCTCCAGGGCGCAGCAATACTCCTTCTTCTTCGCCGACCAACCTCTCTCCCAGTTCGCGTAGCCTACGGCACAGTCAAAGTCTTGGCATCCCTTCCCCTCGTGCTCGCAGCAGAAAGCCTGCTTCGACGCCGACCAGCCGTCCATCCAATTGGCAAGGCCAGCCTCGCAGTCGAACTTGACGTCGGGCGCCTGGGTCGACGTCGAAACAGGAGCCGACGTCGACGAAGAGTCTTGGCACCCTTTCCCATCGTGCTCGCAGCAGAACGTCTTCTTCCGCACGGACCAGCCGTCCATCCAATTGAGGAAGCCTTCCTCGCAGTCAAACGAGAGGCTCACAGTTCCACCAGAAGCAGGAACAGACGTCGACGTCAAGTCTGCACACCCCTTCCCCTCCTGCTCGCAACAGAACTTTTTCTTCGACGCTGACCAGCCGTTCATCCATTTGGAGAGGCCAGCCTGGCAATCGAACTCGACGTCGGGCGCTCGGGTCGACGTCGAAGCAGGCACCGGCGTCGACGAAGAGTTTCGGCACCCCTTCCCCTCGTGCTCGCAACAAAACGTCTTTTTCCGCTCGGACCAGCCGTCCACCCAATTGAGGAAGCCTTCCTCGCAATCGAAAGGGAGGCTTGTGCTCGAATCGGACGCTGGCGCCGACGTCGACGCGGGCTCTGTCTGAACCACCTCGAAGCACCGCTTGTCGACGTCCTCAAGGGGAAAACAAACCTACCTCGCTTTTGACCACCCTCGCTTCCAAGAGATACCAAACTATGCCAAATTGCAGCATGTACTGGTCAGGCCGCTTGACGAGGAGGCGCGTGGTATGACTTGGTTTTGCCTGGAAGCGAAAGCGGGGTATGTAATTCACGCTCTGAGTCCTGGGGGACGTCGAAGACGTGCCTCTTGGCCGCAGTCTCGTCGCCGTCAACCCAGAAGTCGTACCCCGGGCTGTGCTTCGACGCGGGGTAGCCCAGGCTCTGGCTGCTCTCGGACGGCGCGGCCAGGACGGTCACCTTTGAAGGGGCCCCAGGACACACAAATAAATACACACACAAATAAACAGATTCCCCATATTTTCCATCATTTTTGGGTTTTGGGTCTTCCCCCCCGCTTCCCATATTTTCCCATTGGGGAATCGACGATTACTTGTGTCTGTGTGTTTCTTTCCCTCCTGACCCTTGGGGGGAACCAAAAGGTGCCGATACCGCTACTCCACGGGCCTCTCCCCGGGTGCGTTCCAGGACTTCGAGGCGACTCCAGCGGTGGCGACGAGCGCTGCCCAGGAGGCAGGAGAGGAGCCCGAGGCCAGGGCAGCGGTATGAGTACATGTTCCTCCTCTGACACCTTCTGTCCGCTCGGGAGCGACATCTCTATGAGCCCGTACCCGAAAGCGTCATCGCCGCCTGCGGCGATCCTGAACCGCTTCGGCCAGCCCGGCAGCCGGAACATCGCCTCCACGCCAGAGGGCTGCTCCCCGTCGGGGTCGCCGATCTCCTCCAGGAGCGAGACATCCTCGGTCCAGCCGCCCTCTGTCTCGAAGGCCACCGTTACGCCGGTCTCCGTTCCGGAGTAGACGCCTTGCCGGAGGCGCGCGGGGATGCGGGGTAAGGATGCGGGGGCCTTTGATTAGGTCGGGCGTGTCCCCCTACAGGCGGATTTTGAGCGATAGAAAATAATCAACAAATGCTCCAAGCATGATCAAAAATAATAGAAAAATCGTCCCCAAACTATCTTTGACTATTGTTGGATACTCCTCCTGTAGAGGGACAGGCCCGACTTAAGCCTTGGACGCCCTTGTCTGAGCCTCTTGGGCGAAGGTGTCGAGCCATGTGGTGGGTAAGAAGGATCAGCCG